TTTTGTCTTCAATATCTGTTTCATTTCGCCAATCCAAATATTGTCAGGTATGATATAGTGTTTAGGGATGTGTCTGAAGATGCCTGCAGACCATAATACAGAGGCGACATGAGCTAGCACAGCTACCTACTAATCGTGCAATACCCAGAATTTCCTTCAAAATTCCAAACGAAAAACACAATTTAGGTAAACTTTAAGATCCTAATAAAATTTTCGCAAAATTCTTCAATATTTTGATTATACTTTCCTGTACCCACACTAATATGTGTCTTATAAGATTGTTAATAGGTATTTTCTACGTGTTTCCCTCGCAATCTCTCTCTCTCTCTCTCAATAATGGAAAACGAGGTTCCGTAAGCAGTATCAATTATAGTATTATTATACCTCTATTAAGAATACTCAAATTTGGTTGGCTTGTTAGAAGGCTTTTAAGTAAATAAAGTCTTTAAAAAGTACCATTTACAGCAATAATGACCTAGGAATCATTGTACGTGGGGTATAATGACCAAGTCATTATAGATAATGACCGCTAAGAATGACATGTTAATCTAAATTCCATTCAAATTTAAAAATTAATACATACAGTAATGACTGTTCATTACAGAAAATGCCGTTATAAAAATATGTATAGTCTTTTTATAATACGGAATATGATTGTCCTTCAGATGCGTCATAAAATTTATCGTTTTCATTGAAACTTTCGTTACAATGTCAAATTCAACGAATGCAGACTGGGCTCTTTTGAACAGTAAAAGTCTACACCAGATTGTCATTGTACTCGGAAATGGTATTTGTGAATTTATAAAAATGCATGTTACTGACAATCACAGAGTGTTTTAATAAATCAGCGGTGCAAAAACTTACAAGACTTGCAGGCGAAAAGTATTCAACTTCAATAGCGAATCCCGATCCCGATGAGACACTGATAATAATAGTTCGTAGGTCTAATACACAATTGATTATTTTAGTAATTAAGCCTACAAAAATTGTCGCAACTTATATCGGTATAATAAAACAATTGATTACCCCTTACGAGTTCAACATGGTGAAACAAGGACCCTCGACCTGGCCCACTCGCTGACCTGACCTCAGGTCAGGTCACCTCGTGGGCCAGGTCTCGGGTCCTTATTTCACCATGTTGACCTCATAAGGGGTAATTAATTGTATATTATGCACTGCATTAAAACTGAAAAGACCATCATAATGGAAACAACGAAGGAATACTCGTACATGTACTTGGTGAATATAATGCATCGCTAGATGAGGTGCAAAGAGAAGAACCCAGATGTTATAAAAACTTCTTTAGAATAGATAATGCAGCATTTGAGCAACTTTTACAATCACGTGTAGTTACTCCTTTTGATCTCCTTCCCATAAAAAATATGCTTACTGCTAAAGTCGACCATTATGTATCATTTGCTTTTTTTTGTTATGATAAAAATAGGATGACCCCAATGTGAGTACTTTTGATTGGTTACAAAAAGAAAGGTAAGTGAAGACTTGTATAAGAAATAGAGCATTGTCCTATTCTTAATACAGTTTTATAAGATTCGAAAAATCTTATGATTCACTGTATTAAAATTCTATACATAGTAAGATTTTGTACTAAATACATATCCGTGTGTACAGCCCTCGATTGACACACACGATGAAAGCATATCGAACAGTGGAATGTCACGTGAGTAAAGTGATTGTAATATCAAACGGTTGACATTCGGTGACTTGCTAATTTAGTAGCTAACTCGACCGAAGTTTGGAGAATTTTTCAAAAAATTACATATGAGCCGCAAATTGTCCAACATTGCCCTTTGGATATGTATAAGTTTAGATCAAAATACACATTCTGTGCAAATGAGACGAATGGACAAGTTACGGCTCGATGTAAACAATGTCGTTGAAAACTGGTATGCATATGAATAACAATAGAAATGTGACAAAACTGCTAGACCCCTGTCGCAAAAACCAGCGTCTCTCGGCATTATTAAATATTTCCATGTGATATAATATATCAAATCCTGCTCTTAAGATATTGTTTAATCATTCTGATTCACAAAGTTTATAAGTTTCGGAAATTTATTTTTGGCAACGCACCAGGACTCAACTCTCATAGCTGAAGTGCACTGATCCTTTTTGGTGACCTCAATACTGCAAGTAAATATGCTAAAATCACGTGCTGGCACATCACGTGACAAGTCTAAATATCAAATCTAATCGTCCTCAACATGTAGTTAATAACCATAATTACATTTGTCCGCTATAAATAAAGTACTAAAAAGAATCGCAATCCTGAGTGAGAATATATTTTTTATCACAAAAATTGCTGATATTTCCACTGCGCACTTTAACTGTACTGCGTATTTTGTAGTTTGTAGTGAAGGGTATTGACTTGGGTATTGACTTACGTTGTGAATACTTTTAACATTGCACACAGTATAAAGTGGAACTAAAACCTGTTTTGATGCAGAACGTGAAACGCACTATCCCACGTTAGTATATTTGTTGCCATGTGCGCATTAAACCAGACTTTGAAATTCTTTCTCTACTGGTGATATCTTTGCATTATATTCACCTCTAGGTGAAAACCGACTTGGCAGAGAGCGCCATCTCAATGTTTTGATTTTATAAGGTGCACGTGATTGCACTGCGTATACCCAATTTCGCGGATTCAACGATACACTGATATAGGGGACTATACGCTATTTCACGTATAATACCCGATTTCGAGTATTCTCTCCAACCTGTTTAACTCCACTCAATAAATTCTAATTAGGGGTCGCATAGCCCCCCACCCCCACCCCAAACATGCAAATCCGCTAATAACTCAGCATAAAAATCCAGTTTCCTTTTTAATATTTACTATGATTAGTATCTTTTTGTATCATTGTTGCGGTGTTTTTCCTTTGATGTCCATTGTGTTTTTATTTTTGATACACCATGACTAACTGTGCTCTAACAACCATGCTCTATCAAGATAGAACACACCAGGGTAATGATGCAACAATTCCAATGACCCTTGACCTTACATTGATAAAGAAAAAGAATATAAACAAAGTAGCAGGCTTTATGAGCAAAATACAAGCACATTTAAACATAGTGAAAGTTTATCTTTCCTTAGGTCTACATAAAAAATTCTAAATTTTGCACGTCAATTTTTTTTAAAATCCAAAACGAAATTCACACACGCACATTTTTATAAATGAATGTTTTCGTCTCGCATAAACTTGAAGCATAACAAACCACACACAATGTAGTACAGGGAGCGAGATGGATATTCCTTGTTTTCTAATTCCAACACAAATCGCTGCATCAAGTAATTTAGAGAATCGCTGTTCATCTCGGTCAAAAGTGGACATTTTCCCGTGCCGCACACCACTCCTTAGCTTGAACGTTACGAGGATATTTTTTGAGAGTCTATCAAACGCTGAATTTCATAATCGGACACTTGTACAAACCTTTCATTTTTCGTCTTCGTGTCGACCTCAGGACTGGTGAAATTAACGGCATCGTGTCTAAAATATCTCCTATATCGAAATCCATAATAGGTTCAATTTTTAGTTCCGGTAGATCAAACGTCATACTTCCCAAAGAATCTTCAATCTGCATCTGGTTTCCTAAATGATCTAAGGAATTTTCCTTCATAATTTCGGGTTCCGTATCTATAAGAATTGCGAAGGCATAAAATCACAACCGTCATCTATGGCGTTCAGAATATGAATGGACGAGGCACAGGGGCTTGCTCCCGGCGTGTAATAATTATTTATTTTAAAAAAGTCATATACGTTAATACTAAAACTGTAGTTTTAGTATTAACGTATATGATTTTTTTTAAAATAAATAATTATTACACGCCGGGAGCAAGCCCCTGTGGACGAGGTAGAAAGTTCAAGAAATACAGCGCGCTATACTTTTTGAATCACGTGCTCTTTTTTCATTGGTTATATAAAATGGTATGATGAAATTTTGATAGATCATGGCCAATTCAGTGATGGGAATATGGAGTTGAATTAAGTGCTATTAACGTAAATTTGATAGATCATGGGTAGCTCAAAACCTGAGAACAATGATACAAAATATATAGAGTACCTTTTAACTCGTGCATCTTCAGATATCAGACTCGGGGGACAAGCCCCCTCGTCTGATATCTGAAGATACACTCGTTAAAAGGTACTCTATATATTACTTCAATCATAGAGACATTATGTAATGCCTGAAATTTTAGTGAAATTACTGTAGAGCTTAAGATCTTTTCACATTGTATTTCTATTTTTCTTAGTGAAAATTTTAACAAAAAGTTATGTATCCTAATGTGCAATGTTGTAAGGAAGTTAAATGTTGGTGAAGATGGGGTCACAAGAGTTCGTTCATTGAACACGCAGTTTTTATAAGTGTAGTGCTATCCAAAAATTGTGGGTATGTTTTCATCAATCTCCTGGAATGAAACTGGATATAGGCTAGGTTCTTAATATGTCAAAGATGAAACAAAATGAATTTATTAAGCACGGCATGGTGCATAATGTTTGCAAATTATTCTCAAATAAGGCGTAAATACATTGCAGTTATGAGGCTCAGGTCTCCAATATAAATACGCACAATAATTTAAACATATCCGACCCCGATGTTATTAAAATAAGCGCGAAGCGCTCTCTCTACCCCTATAGTATTACAAAACAGTGGTGAACTTGGTGCCCTGGCGCCCAGAAATGGTGCTTATATTGGCCCTTTTGACACCGGAATCCATCAGGGGCGCCCTCGAGCCATAGTGTCCCGGGCTCACCTAAGCGAGGATAGTCCTAGTTTAGGCGGTAAGCGTTAATTACGGAGTGATTGTTTTTAGATGGGTTCTATAGACACTGTTAACAAAAAAAAATTGTTATAAACTACCTACTTGACTTTAGTGAACTAAGTCGTGACAGCTGCTGTCAATCGCGAGCGAAGGTCGCTGTGGGGGTTCCTCATATCATGCTTCATTCCTGTTCATTTTATGCTCTGTTGCTGGATTCATGAATAAAACCAAAATACACCTATGGTTACTGACCAGCCGTTCTGCTGATTTAATGGAGGAGGGGGAGGCAGATGACTCTGAGTATGATGATACTGATGATATAAAGAGTCTCTTGGAATCCGGAAATTCCGGAGCCAAAACTGATCTACTTGATGATCAGCAGAGTGGTTCAGTGTTAGAAGAAATGGACGCTCTCTTACAGGATGATGATGATGTTGGGTCAGCAATTTCTGAAAAACTGGCCAATATTACTAACAAAGCATTTTCTAAGCAGCATTCTATTGATGCTGTTAAGAAAAAGAAAGAGTCTCACAAGAGACCAAAGAATTGTGACAAAGTTATTGTTCCTAAAGTAAACAAAGAAATTTGGCGTCAAATGCTCAAACAAGCTTTCACTAAAAAGCGTGACCTAAGATTGATGAATGTTCAGAGTTTGATCACAAAGTCAACTTGTGCAGTAGTTAGTGTAGCAAACAAGTTGTTGAATTTGGATGGCCAGAAGCATGATGCAGAAATAAGAAATTGTCTTGATGCGATTTACTTATTAGGCCATGCAAATACCACAATGTCTATGCAGCGTAGAGATTTATTAAGACCAGTGCTAAAAAGTGATTATGCTGCATAATGTGACAGCAATATCCAAGTTACATCTTTGCTTTTCGGAGAAGACCCTCCTAAGTCTTTGAAGGAGACCCGTCAAGTAGGCAATGTTGGAAGGAATTATTCAAAAAACGGGAAAAGATTTGGGTTCAGTCAGAGAAACAAGAACGATTTTTCTTGGAAAAAGAAGAACCAAAGCCAGCAGAAAAGATTCAAAAAAGATCAGTAACAGAAACCCTGACTGAGGTAAAACTTCAATCTACTACATCTGACGAATATGCAAGTTTTATAGAAAAAACTATTTTGAATGCTAAAAAAGACATATTACAATTTGAAGGTGGCAGAATCATGCATTTTTTAGATAAATGGACTGAGCTCACTTCAGATCCAGAAATATTGGGCATTGTGAAGGGTATTGAACTTGAGTTTATTAGTAACCCAGTTCAGTACATTAATGCAGTTCATCAATGCAATTTTAATATGATGTAGAGAAAAGCAATTGATGAAGAAATACAAAAGTTACTTGATAAAAAAGTAATTGTAGAGAGTGAAGTGGAGAAAGACCAGTTTGTGTCTCCTATTTTTAAGACCCAAAAAGATGGCAAATATAGGTTGATATGCAACTTGAAACATTTGAATGAATTTATTCAGTATCGCCATTTTAAAAATGGATTCACTGGTGTCAGTTTGAGGATGATGGCACCAAATTGTTATATGGCTTCTTTTAATCTAAAAGATGCATATTACTGCATACCTGTTGCAGATGTTTATCAGAAATATCTTAAATTTTATTGGAATTCTAAGCTTTACATGCATAGAGCATGTCCTATGGGTTTATGTATGAGCCCTCGGTTAGTTACAAAAGTAATGAAACCAGTTTTTTCAAGACTTAGACAAAATGTTCATCAATCTGTAATTTATATTGATGACATTTATTTGCAAGGTGACAATGTTCAAGCATGCAAAGAAAATGCAATTGCTACAGCAAACATGCTTGTTAATTACAGATTTGTCATTAGCCCTGAAAAATCTGTTTTTCAGCCAAGCCAAGAAATAGAATATCTAGGTTTCCTTCTGAACTCAGTAGAAATGACAATTGCAATTACAGACAGAAAGGCAATTAAAGTGGTTACAATTTGTGATGAATATCTTAAATCAAAAAGAAATTCATTTAGAGATCTTAGCACTGTTATAGGAAACTTGGTGGCAAGTTTTCAGCTGTACCACATGGGCAGTTGTTTTATCGTCAGTTAGAGAATGAGAAAATTTTGGCTTTAAAGAAGTCAAGGGGTCAATTTGAGGCTGAAGTTCATTTATCAAATCTAGCAATTAATGACTTACGGTGGTAGAAACGAAACATTGTGGGTTCTAAAGCCCCAATCACTCGAGGTCAATCAGATTTGATAATTGAAACAGATGCAAGTCTGCAAGGTTGGGGTTGCAATTGTCAATCACTTAGCATATCTACAGGTGGCCCATGGAAAGATTCAGAAAGAAATTATCATATAAATGCTTTAGAACTTCAAGCTGTGTATTTTTCATTGCAATCAATATGTAATGATAAGAAAGATATGCACATAAAGCTTTTAATTGACAATACAACTGCCGTAGCATATATTAGAGAACAGGGAGGTAGTCGTTCTTTAGAGTGCAATAAAATGGTCAGAAAAATTTGGACTTGGGCATATGAGAGAAATATTTGGCTAACGGCTGCTCATATCCCAGGGAAAATAAATTGCAAGGCAGATTTTGAGAGTAGACATTTTAAACAAGAATATGAATGGATGCTTAATAAACAAGTTTAACAATCAGCTTGTGAAAAGTTGCATTTTATTTCAGATATTGATTTGTTTGCTACACGCAATAATTGTCAATTAGAAAAATTTGTGTCATGGAAATCAGAGCCTGAATCTTTTGCAATTGATGTTTTTTTCTATTTCTTGGGCTGGTATGAAATTATACTGTTTTCCACCCTTTTGTTGATATCATCGGTTTTACAGAAAATAGTGTTAGATAAAGCCATAGGTATTTTAATAATGCCAGATTGGCCAACGCAGCCATATTAAGCTACTGCGATGAAAATGCTCATAGAACATCCAATTTTTGTTCACAGGAGGAAAACTCTGTTGTGCATTCCAGGGACAACACAAATCCACAAAATATGGGAAAAGTTAAACTTACTAATATGTCTGTTATCAGGAGATCAATCCAGAGTAAAGACTTATCGAAGCAAGCTAAAGACATTTTGTTGTTTTCATGGAGAGAGAAAACAACAAAACAATATGAGTGTTACCTCCGTAAGTGGGAGACATTCTGTGGTAGACGGGAAATTGATCCCTTTTCAACAACCATAAATATTAATAATGTTTTGGAGTTTTTAACATTTTTATACGAGAGTGGCATTGGCTATTCAGGTATCAATACAGCAAGGAGTGCTTTATCATCAGTCGTGACTCTAGTTGATGCTGTTCATCATCCTGTGGGACAACATCCATTGATAAAAAGATTTCTTAAAGGTGTTTTTAATAAGAAACCAACTTTTCCAAGATATTCAGAAATCTGGGATGTTTCAGTGGTGTTAAACTGGATGAAAACAATTCACTTTGATGATATGTGTCTGAAGTTATTAACATTAAAGACAGTAATGCTTTTAGCTTTATTATCTGGACAAAGGGTACAAACCCTTAAAGCGTTATCAATGAAAAATCTAAAATTGACATATTCTTATGTAGAATTTAGAGTTGATTCTTTACTAAAACAAAGCAGGCCTGGTTTTCATTTGCATAAAATCGTATTACCGGCTTATGAGGACAGACGTTTGTGTATAGTTCAACATTTAAGAAAGTACATTGACATGACAAAAGAAATAAGGAACACAGATTCATTATTAATTAGTTATCAAAAGCCACATGCGTCAGTATCATGTGACACTATTGCTTGCTGGTTAAAATCTACGATGGCCGATATGGGCCGGACAAAAAGTAATCACGAGTTGTGTTCGATTTGCCGGCAATTCTTAATTAGATGCCGGCAAAATGTAACCACGAGTTGTGTTTGATTTGCCGGCAATTCTTAGATACCGGCAAATCTTAGATACCGGCAATTCTTATTTAAAATATTTAATTAAATTGTCAGAGGATATAGAGGTTTCAGAAGTCAAGTTATCTTAATTGGGCAAAGAGGTTGACAAAAACAAAAAAAACAAAAACAACAACAAAGCGGTTTCACTCAACACGTGGCATTATTTATGACATATCAAAGCGAAGTCAAGATATTTAAATGGCTACAAAGCAGCCTCCCCGAAAATTAAAAGAAGTCTATAACGAAGGATGGGAGGGGGGGGGGATCGGGGGCTATTTCAACACTAGTCTGGATTACGTTCACTGTCTTTAAACAGAATGTTTAAAAATCTGTATATAGGAAAATAAAACACTTCTTGTGTAATGTATATCGGGACTCCTACGCAAATCGACAAGTGTAAATGCTCTTCATCCTTATGAAGTGGTTTTTCATAATCTTTGATTAGGATATTATGGAGCCTAGATATAAACGGACAATACAAATTCAGATATTTCCTGTACTCTCATGATCATCCTCACAAGTGTTTATGGTAGTCTGGTAGTTTATAAACCAGGCAATTTTTTTAAACATCTAATCAATTGACTACATGTAGCTGGGTCGTCAATCAACAGGTAGCGTGCACAGCGTTCATTAAGGATTTGAGGGAACACTAGCTTTGTTATAAAAATAATTAACACAACTATTGAAGATCAAATAAAATATATGTTGGTATGAATTTTAAAAGATATTATACTTTTATGTGGAGTGCAAGGGTCTGGAAACCCCTTAAACAATGTCTATATGCGTCCCCCTCACTTCTCTCAGTATTCTGGGTTTTTTCCCAATCCATTTGCCCTGTTAAGTTAACTTGACTTCTGTTACATTGATATCCTCTGGCAACTAAATTAAATATTACATATAAGAATTGCTATTAATTGCATGTACCGAAGATTTGCCGGCATCTAAGAATTGCCGGCAAATCAAACACAACTCGTGGTTACTTTTTGCCCCGGCCCATATCGGCCATCGTAAAAATCGGTGCTTCACAAAAGTGGTGTGGATGTAAATGTTTACACAGCGCATAGTACACGTGCTGCGTCAACGTCTCGGGCAGCTTCAAGGTATCACACCGGTAATTGTTTTCACTATGTAATTCTATATAGAATTAAAAATCATTAAAAATCAGGTATTCGAATTCATGAAAAAATATATAGCAGGAAGTGTTAAACGTTACCAATCACATCAGCTGACACCAAAAAAATAGGGTACCTACACGGCATTTTCTGATTTTTTCCATCCGCAAACAGGAATACCTTCAAAACCACGTGTATTCAATGTGTATATAAACATCCTGTGTGCACCCTAGGAAGTGGCCTCCCATGCCCAGAAAGAAATAGTTCCTGTCAAAAACCTTTAATATTTTACAAAGTACATAAAATATCCTAAGCTCAGATACCAAAAATGTAAAAATAGAATAAGGGAAATTAAAAAAATTCTCATAATAAAAAAATATTTCTTTATTATGTATGGAACTACAATTGACTAAGTTCATTTTGATTGGTCTATTACCGGTGTGATACCTTCAATGGGATGCCCTATAGACAATATAATGGCACAAGTGGGCTGGTCTAAGGAAAAAACTTTCGCTAAATATTACAACAAATATTGTACTCCGGAGAACATTTCTTTGGGACAAACATTCTTAAAATGTATTGATAAATAAGACTGTCATGTTCATGCAGTGATGTATATATTCACATTAGTAGATTAGGATGTAATAAATTGAATTGTAATCAACAATATTTTTTATTACATTTAATAGCCTCAGAGCTTTAAAATCTCATGTGGTTCCGTAATGAACTGGACAGTGATGAAGTAGAATTGGAAATTAAACGAGACTTACCTGGAAGTTGAAGTTTGATTGTAATTCTACGAAATCACTGGAAAGGAATGGAGGAATCACATGCCCAACCCTGTAAAATTTGTTCTTCTTCCCTACCCTTAGTTTATTTACATCTTCGGCTATTAATTTGATTTAAATACTGAGGCCAGATAGGCTTGCGGTATCTCATGTGATTCCTCCATTCCTTTCCAGTGATTTCGTAGAATTAAAATCAAACTTCAACTTCCAGGTAAGTCTCGTTTAATTTCCAATTATAGGGCACAGCCATATTGCGTATAAAGTAGCTCCGGTTCAGTGGAGGTTTACATGATACAGCCGAGGTTAGATGAGGTACGATTTGGCCGAGGTGTGCCGAATGTACAATGTACATTTATTTTACAAAGGCAATAATAAGTTGAAATATATACAAGGATGACATCCAACATTAACGAGTTAATACTAGTTCATAAGCAAACCGATCATGCACTTCCTTCGATAGCATCATCTAATTCATAGCGAATTAGCTGGTAATATTATCTATATGAGGATTCAGGAACTGCAATGATTCCAAGAATAAAATATTGTTTTCTGCAAAACGTTCATTTGAAATTAAAATA